ATGGGCGCCTATCTCTAGGGCGCCTATCTCTAGGGGCGCCTATCTCTAGGGCGCCTATCTCTAGGGGCGCCTATCTCTAGGGGCGCCTATCTCTAGGGGCGCCTATCTCTATGGCGCCTATCTCTAGGGGCGCCTATCTCTAGGGGCGCCTATCTCTATGGGCGCCTATCTCTAGGGGCGCCTATCTCTATGGGCGCCTATCTCTATGGGCGCCTATCTCTATGGGCGCCTATCTCTAGGGGCGCCTATCTCTAGGGCGCCTATCTCTAGGGGCGCCTATCTCTATGGGCGCCTATCTCTATGGGCGCCTATCTCTATGGCGCCTATCTCTAGGGGCGCCTATCTCTAGGGGCGCCTATCTCTAGGGGCGCCTATCTCTATGGGCGCCTATCTCTATGGGCGCCTATCTCTATGGGCGCCTATCTCTATGGGCGCCTATCTCTAGGGCGCCTATCTCTAGGGGCGCCTATCTCTAGGGGGCGCCTATCTCTAGGGGCGCCTATCTCTAGGGGCGCCTATCTCTAGGGGCGCCTATCTCTAGGGCGCCTATCTCTATGGGGGCCTATCTCTATGGGCGCCTATCTCTAGGGGCGCCTATCTCTAGGGGCGCCTATCTCTATGGGCGCCTATCTCTATGGGGCGCCTATCTCTATGGGCGCCTATCTCTAGGGGCGCCTATCTCTAGGGGCGCCTATCTCTATGGGCGCCTATCTCTAGGGGCGCCTATCTCTATGGGCGCCTATCTCTAGGGGCGCCTATCTCTATGGGCGCCTATCTCTATGGGCGCCTATCTCTATGGGCGCCTATCTCTAGGGGCGCCTATCTCTATGGGCGCCTATCTCTATGGGCGCCTATCTCTATGGGCGCCTATCTCTATGGGCGCCTATCTCTATGGGCGCCTATCTCTATGGGCGCGCCTATCTCTATGGGCGCCTATCTCTATGGGCGCCTATCTCTATGGGCGCCTATCTCTAGGGCGCCTATCTCTATGGGCGCCTATCTCTATGGGCGCCTATCTCTAGGGGCGCCTATCTCTAGGGGCGCCTATCTCTATGGGCGCCTATCTCTAGGGGCGCCTATCTCTAGGGCGCCTATCTCTAGGGGCGCCTATCTCTAGGGGCGCCTATCTCTAGGGGCGCCTATCTCTAGGGGCGCCTATCTCTAGGGCGCCTATCTCTATCTCTGAGGGCGCCTATCTCTAGGGGCGCCTATCTCTAGGGGCGCCTATCTCTAGGGGCGCCTATCTCTAGGGCGCCTATCTCTATGGGCGCCTATCTCTAGGGGCGCCTATCTCTAGGGGCGCCTATCTCTATGGGCGCCTATCTCTAGGGGCGCCTATCTCTATGGGCGCCTATCTCTATGGGCGCCTATCTCTATGGGCGCCTATCTCTAGGGGCGCCTATCTCTAGGGCGCCTATCTCTAGGGGCGCCTATCTCTATGGGCGCCTATCTCTATGGGCGCCTATCTCTATGGGCGCCTATCTCTAGGGGCGCCTATCTCTAGGGGCGCCTATCTCTAGGGGCGCCTATCTCTATGGGCGCCTATCTCTATGGGCGCCTATCTCTATGGGCGCCTATCTCTATGGGCGCCTATCTCTAGGGCGCCTATCTCTAGGGGCGCCTATCTCTAGGGGCGCCTATCTCTAGGGGCGCCTATCTCTAGGGCGCCTATCTCTAGGGGCGCCTATCTCTAGGGGCGCCTATCTCTAGGGGCGCCTATCTCTAGGGGCGCCTATCTCTAGGGGCGCCTATCTCTATGGGCGCCTATCTCTATGGGCGCCTATCTCTATGGGCGCCTATCTCTATGGGCGCCTATCTCTATGGGCGCCTATCTCTATGGCGCCTATCTCTATGGGGCGCCTATCTCTATGGGCGCCTATCTCTATGGGCGCCTATCTCTATGGGCGCCTATCTCTATGGGCGCCTATCTCTATGGGCGCCTATCTCTAGGGGCGCCTATCTCTATGGGCGCCTATCTCTATGGGCGCCTATCTCTAGGGGCGCCTATCTCTAGGGCGCCTATCTCTATGGGCGCCTATCTCTATGGGCGCCTATCTCTAGGGGGCCTATCTCTAGGGGCGCCTATCTCTAGGGGCGCCTATCTCTATGGGCGCTATCTCTATGGGCGCCTATCTCTATGGGCGCCTATCTCTATGGGCGCCTATCTCTAGGGGCGCCTATCTCTAGGGGCGCCTATCTCTAGGGCGCCTATCTCTAGGGGCGCCTATCTCTAGGGCGCCTATCTCTAGGGGCGCCTATCTCTAGGGGCGCCTATCTCTAGGGCGCCTATCTCTATGGGCGCCTATCTCTATGGGCGCCTATCTCTATGGGCGCCTATCTCTATGGGCGCCTATCTCTATGGGCGCCTATCTCTAGGGCGCCTATCTCTATGGGCGCCTATCTCTATGGGCGCCTATCTCTATGGGCGCCTATCTCTATGGGCGCCTATCTCTATGGGCGCCTATCTCTAGGGCGCCTATCTCTATGGCGCCTATCTCTAGGGGCGCCTATCTCTATGGGCGCCTATCTATCTCTATGGCGCCTATCTCTATGGGCGCCTATCTCTAGGGGCGCCTATCTCTATGGGCGCCTATCTCTATGGGCGCCTATCTCTAGGGGCGCCTATCTCTAGGGGCGCCTATCTCTATGGGCGCCTATCTCTATGGGCGCCTATCTCTATGGGCGCCTATCTCTATGGGCGCCTATCTCTATGGGCGCCTATCTCTAGGGGCGCCTATCTCTAGGGGCGCCTATCTCTAGGGCGCCTATCTCTAGGGGCGCCTATCTCTAGGGGCGCCTATCTCTAGGGGCGCCTATCTCTAGGGGCGCCTATCTCTATGGGCGCCTATCTCTAGGGGCGCCTATCTCTAGGGGCGCCTATCTCTAGGGGCGCCTATCTCTATGGGCGCCTATCTCTGTGGGCGCCTATCTCTATGGGCGCCTATCTCTATGGGCGCCTATCTCTATGGGCGCCTATCTCTATGGGCGCCTATCTCTATGGGGCGCCTATCTCTATGGGCGCCTATCTCTAGGGGCGCCTATCTCTATGGGCGCCTATCTCTATGGGCGCCTATCTCTATGGGCGCCTATCTCTATGGGCGCCTATCTCTATGGGCGCCTATCTCTATGGGCGCCTATCTCTAGGGCGCCTATCTCTATGGGCGCCTATCTCTATGGGCGCCTATCTCTATATGGGCGCCTATCTCTATGGGCGCCTATCTCTATGGGCGCCTATCTCTATGGGCGCCTATCTCTATGGGCGCCTATCTCTATGGGCGCCTATCTCTAGGGGCGCCTATCTCTTGGGCGCCTATCTCTAGGGGCGCCTATCTCTAGGGGCGCCTATCTCTATGGGCGCCTATCTCTATGGGCGCCTATCTCTATGGGCGCCTATCTCTAGGGCGCCTATCTCTAGGGCGCCTATCTCTATGGGCGCCTATCTCTATGGGCGCCTATCTCTATGGGCGCCTATCTCTATGGGCGCCTATCTCTATGGGCGCCTATCTCTATGGGCGCCTATCTCTAGGGGCGCCTATCTCTATGGCGCCTATCTCTATGGGCGCCTATCTCTAGGGGCGCCTATCTCTATGGGCGCCTATCTCTAGGGCCCTATCTCTAGGGGCGCCTATCTCTATGGGCGCCTATCTCTATGGGCGCCTATCTCTATGGGCGCCTATCTCTATGGGCGCCTATCTCTATGGGCGCCTATCTCTATGGGCGCCTATCTCTATGGGCGCCTATCTCTAGGGGCGCCTATCTCTATGGGCGCCTATCTCTATGGGCGCCTATCTCTATGGGCGCCTATCTCTATGGGCGCCTATCTCTATGGGCGCCTATCTCTATGGGCGCCTATCTCTATGGCGCCTATCTCTATGGGCGCCTATCTCTAGGGGCGCCTATCTCTATGGGCGCCTATCTCTAGGGGCGCCTATCTCTATGGGCGCCTATCTCTAGGGCGCCTATCTCTATGGGCGCCTATCTCTAGGGGCGCCTATCTCTAGGGCGCCTATCTCTATGTGCGCCTATCTCTAGTGGGCGCCTATCTCTAGGGGCGCCATCTCTAGAGGCGCCTATCTCTTGGGGCGCCTATCTCTATGGGCGCCTATCTCTAGGGGCGCCTATCTCTAGGGGCGCCTATCTCTATGGGCGCCTATATCTCTATGGGCGCCTATCTCTAGGGCGCCTATCTCTAGGCGCCTATCTCTAGGGGCGCCTATCTCTAGGGGCGCCTATCTCTATGGGCGCCTATCTCTATGGGCGCCTATCTCTAGGGGCGCCTATCTCTAGAGGCGCCTATCTCTATGGGCGCCTATCTCTAGGGGCGCCTATCTCTAGGGGCGCCTATCTCTAGGGGCGCCTATCTCTAGGGGCGCCTATCTCTAGGGGCGCCTATCTCTAGGGGCGCCTATCTCTATGGGCGCCTATCTCTATGGGCGCCTATCTCTATGGGCGCCTATCTCTATGGGCGCCTATCTCTATGGGCGCCTATCTCTATGGGCGCCTATCTCTATGGGCGCCTATCTCTATGGGCGCCTATCTCTATGGGCGCCTATCTCTATGGGCGCCTATCTCTATGGGCGCCTATCTCTATGGGCGCCTATCTCTATGGGCGCCTATCTCTATGGGCGCCTATCTCTATGGGCGCCTATCTCTATGGGCGCCTATCTCTAGGGGCGCCTATCTCTATGGGCGCCTATCTCTAGGGGCGCCTATCTCTATGGGCGCCTATCTCTATGGGCGCCTATCTCTATGGGCGCCTATCTCTAGGGGCCTATCTCTAGGGGCGCCTATCTCTATGGGCGCCTATTCTTAGGGCGCCTATCTCTAGGGGCGCCTATCTCTTTGGGCGCCTATCTCTATGGGCGCCTATCTCTAGGGCGCCTATCTCTAGGGGCGCCTATCTCTATGGGCGCCTATCTCTATGGGCGGCTATCTCTAGGGGCGCCTATCTCTATGGGCGCCTATCTCTAGGGGCGCCTATCTCTAGGGCGCCTATCTCTATGGGCGCCTATCTCTATGGGCGCCTATCTCTAGGGCGCCTATCTCTAGTGGCGCCTATTCTCTATGGGCGCCTATCTCTAGGGGCGCCTATCTCTAGGGGCGCCTATCTCTAGGGGCGCCTATCTCTAGGGGCGCCTATCTCTAGGGGCGCCTATCTCTAGGGGCGCCTATCTCTAGGGGCGCCTATCTCTATGGGGCGCCTATCTCTAGGGCGCCTATCTCTATGGGCGCCTATCTCTATGGGCGCCTATCTCTATGGGCGCCTATCTCTATGGGCGCCTATCTCTATGGGCGCCTATCTCTATGGGCGCCTATCTCTAGGGGCACTATCTCTAGGGCGCCTATCTCTAGGGGCGCCTATCTCTATGGGCGCCTATCTCTATGGCGCCTATCTCTAGGGCGCCTATCTCTATGGCGCCTATCTCTATGGGCGCCTATCTCTATGGGCGCCTATCTCTATGGGCGCCTATCTCTATGGGCGCCTATCTCTATGGGCGCCTATCTCTATGGGCGCCTATCTCTATGGGGCGCCTATCTCTATGGGCGCCTATCTCTATGGGCGCCTATCTCTAGGGGCGCCTATCTCTATGGGCGCCTATCTCTAGGGGCGCCTATCTCTATGGGCGCCTATCTCTCTATGGGCGCCTATCTCTATGGGCGCCTATCTCTATGGGCGCCTATCTCTATGGCGCCTATCTCTATGGGCGCCTATCTCTATGGGGCGCCTATCTCTATGGGCGCCTATCTCTAGGGGCGCCTATCTCTAGGGGCGCCTATCTCTTGGGCGCCTATCTTAGGGGCGCCTATCTCTAGGGCGCCTATCTCTAGGGGCGCCTATCTCTAGGGGCGCCTATCTCTAGGGCGCCTATCTCTAGGGGCGCCTATCTCTAGGGGCGCCTATCTCTAGGGGCGCCTATCTCTAGGGGCGCCTATCTCTATGGGCGCCTATCTCTAGGGGCGCCTATCTCTAGGGGCGCCTATCTCTACGGGCGCCTATCTCTAGGGGCGCCTATCTCTAGGGGCGCCTATCTCTAGGGCGCCTATCTCTAGGGCGCCTATCTCTAGGGGCGCCTATCTCTAGGGGCGCCTATCTCTTGGGGCGCCTATCTCTAGGGGCGCCTATCTCTAGGGGCGCCTATCTCTAGGGCGCCTATCTCTAGGGCGCCATCTCTAGGGCGCCTATCTCTATGGGCGCCTATCTCTATGGGCGCCTATCTCTAGGGGCGCCTATCTCTAGGGCGCCTATCTCTAGGGGCGCCTATCTCTATGGGCGCCTATCTCTATGGGCGCCTATCTCTAGGGGCGCCTATCTCTAGGGCGCCTATCTCTAGGGGCGCCTATCTCTAGGGGCGCCTATCTCTAGGGGCGCCTATCTCTAGGGGCGCCTATCTCTAGGGCGCCTATCTCTAGGGGCGCCTATCTCTAGGGGCGCCTATCTCTAAGGGCGCCTATCTCTAGGGGCGCCTATCTCTAGGGGCGCCTATCTCTAGGGCGCCTATCTCTAGGGGCGCCTATCTCTAGGGGCGCCTATCTTAGGGGCGCCTATCTCTAGGGCGCCTATCTCTATGGGCGCCTATCTCTAGGGCGCCTATCTCTATGGGCGCCTATCTCTATGGGGGCCTATCTCTAGGGGCGCCTATCTCTAGGGGCGCCTATCTCTATGGGCGCCTATCTCTAGGGGCGCCTATCTCTAGGGGCGCCTATCTCTATGGGCGCCTATCTCTATGGGCGCCTATCTCTATGGGCGCCTATCTCTATGGGCGCCTATCTCTAGGGGCGCCTATCTCTATGGGCGCCTATCTCTAGGGCGCCTATCTCTAGTGGGCCCTATCTCTAGGGCGCCTATCTCTATGGGCGCCTATCTCTAGGGGCGCCTATCTCTAGGGGCGCCTATCTCTAGGGGCGCCTATCTCTAGGGGCGCCTATCTCTATGGGCGCCTATCTCTAGGGGCGCCTATCTCTAGGGCGCCTATCTCTATGGGCGCCTATCTCTATGGGCGCCTATCTCTATGGGCGCCTATCTCTAGGGCGCCTATCTCTATGGGCGCCTATCTCTATCTCTAGGGGCGCCTATCTCTAGGGGCGCCTATCTCTATGGGCGCCTATCTCTATGGGCGCCTATCTCTAGGGGCGCCTATCTCTATGGGCGCCTATCTCTAGGCGGCCTTATCTTTAGGGCGCCTATCTCTAGGGGCGCCTATCTCTAGGGGCGCCTATCTCTATGGGCGCCTATCTCTATGGGCGCCTATCTCTAGGGGCGCCTATCTCTATGGGCGCCTATCTCTATGGGCGCCTATCTCTAGGGCGCCTATCTCTAGGGGCGCCTATCTCTAGGGGCGCCTCTCGGGCGCCTATCTCTAGGGGCGCCTATCTCTAGGGCGCCTATCTCTATGGGCGCCTATCTCTAGGGGCGCCTATCTCTAGGGGCGCCTATCTCTAGGGGCCTATCTCTAGGGGCGCCTATCTCTAGGGGCGCCTATATCTAGGGGCGCCTATCTCTAGGGGCGCCTATCTCTAGGGGCGCCTATCTCTATGGGCGCCTATCTCTAGGGGCGCCTATCTCTAGGGGCGCCTATCTCTAGGGGCGCCTATCTCTATGGGCGCCTATCTCTATGGGCGCCTATCTCTATGGGCGCCTATCTCTAGGGGCGCCTATCTCTATGGGGCGCCTATCTCTATGGGCGCCTATCTCTAGGGGCGCCTATCTCTAGGGGCGCCTATCTCTATGGGCGCCTATCTCTAGGGCGCCTATCTCTATGGGCGCCTATCTCTATGGGCGCCTATCTCTAGGGGCGCCTATCTCTATGGGCGCCTATCTCTAGGGGCGCCTATCTCTAGTGGCGCCTATCTCTAGGGGCGCCTATCTCTATGGGCGCCTATCTCTAGGGGCGCCTATCTCTAGGGGCGCCTATCTCTATGGGCGCCTATCTCTAGGGCGCCTATCTCTAGGGCGCCTATCTCTATGGGCGCCTATCTCTATGGGCGCCTATCTCTATGGGCGCCTATCTCTATGGGCGCCTATCTCTATGGGCCCTATCTCTAGGGGCGCCTATCTCTATGGGCGCCTATCTCTAGGGGCGCCTATCTCTAGGGCGCCTATCTCTATGGGCGCCTATCTCTATGGGCGCCTATCTCTAGGGGCGCCTATCTCTATGGGCGCCTATCTCTAGGGCGCCTATCTCTAGGGGCGCCTATCTCTAGGGGCGCCTATCTCTAGGGGCGCCTATCTCTATGGGCGCCTATCTCTAGGGGCGCCTATCTCTTAGGGCGCCTATCTCTATGGGCGCCTATCTCTATGGGCGCCTATCTCTAGGGCGCCTATCTCTAGGGGCGCCTATCTCTAGGGGGGCCCCTCTCCCCCGCCTAGCTCTAGGGGCGCCTATCTCTAGGGGCGCCTATCTCTATGGGCGCCTATCTCTAGGGGCGCCTATCTCTAGGGGCGCCTATCTCTAGGGGCGCCTATCTCTAGGGGCGCCTATCTCTATGGGCGCCTATCTCTAGGGGCGCCTATCTCTAGGGGCGCCTATCTCTAGGGGCGCCTATCTCTATGGGCGCCTATCTCTCTAGGGGCGCCTATCTCTAGGGGCGCCTATCTCTAGGGGCGCCTATCTCTAGGGGCGCCTATCTCTATGGGCGCCTATCTCTATGGGCGCCTATCTCTATGGGCGCCTATCTCTATGGGCGCCTATCTCTAGCGGCGCCTATCTCTATAGGCGCCTATCTCTAGGGGCGCCTATCTCTAGGGGCGCCTATCTCTATGGGCGCCTATCTCTAGGGCGCCTATCTCTAGGGGCGCCTATCTCTAGTGGCGCCTATCTCTAGGGGCGCCTATCTCTATGGGCGCCTATCTCTAGGGGCGCCTATCTCTAGGGGCGCCTATCTCTAGGGCGCCTATCTCTAAGGGCGCCTATCTCTATGGGCGCCTATCTCTAGGGGCGCCTATCTCTATGGGGCGCCTATCTCTATGGGCGCCTATCTCTATGGGCGCTATCTCTATGGGCGCCTATCTCTATGGCGCCTATCTCTATGGGCGCCTATCTCTAGGGGCGCCTATCTCTATGGGCGCCTATCTCTAGGGGCGCCTATCTCTAGGGGCGCCTATCTCTATGGGCGCCTATCTCTAGGGGCGCCTATCTCTATGGGCGCCTATCTCTATGGGCGCCTATCTCTATGGGCGCCTATCTCTATGGGCGCCTATCTCTATGGGCGCCTATCTCTATGGGCGCCTATCTCTATGGGCGCCTATCTCTATGGGCGCCTATCTCTAGGGGCGCCTATCTCTATGGCGCCTATCTCTAGGGGCGCCTATCTCTAGGGGCGCCTATCTCTATGGGCGCCTATCTCTAGGGGCGCCTATCTCTAGGGGCGCCTATCTCTAGGGGGCCTATCTCTAGGGGCGAGGGGCGCCTATCTCTATGGGGCGCCTATCTCTAGGGGCGCCTATCTCTATGGCGCCTATCTCTATGGGCGCCTATCTCTATGGGCGCCTATCTCTATGGGCGCCTATCTCTTTGGGCGCCTATCTCTATGGGCGCCTATCTCTAGGGGCGCCTATCTCTATGGGCGCCTATCTCTAGGGGCGCCTATCTCTATGGGCGCCTATCTCTATGGGCGCCTATCTCTATGGGCGCCTATCTCTAGGGGCGCCTATCTCTAGGGGCGCCTATCTCTATGGGCGCCTATCTCTATGGGCGCCTATCTCTAGGGGCGCCTATCTCTAGGGGCGCCTATCTCTATGGGCGCCTATCTCTATGTGCGCCTATCTCTAGGGGCGCCTATCTCTAGGGGCGCCTATCTCTAGGGCGCCTATCTCTAGGGCGCCTATCTCTATGGGGCGCCTATCTCTAGGGGCGCCCTATCTCTATGGGCGCCTATCTCTAGGGGCGCCTATCTCTATGGGCGCCTATCTCTATGGGCGCCTATCTCTAGGGGCGCCTATCTCTATGGGCGCCTATCTCTATGGGCGCCTATCTCTATGGGCGCCTATCTCTAGGGGCGCCTATCTCTATGGGCGCCTATCTCTAGGGGCGCCTATCTCTATGGCGCCTATCTCTATGGGCGCCTATCTCTATGGGCGCCTATCTCTAGGGGCGCCTATCTCTAGGGGCGCCTATCTCTATGTGCGCCTATCTCTATGGGCGCCTATCTCTAGGGCGCCTATCTCTAGAGGCGCCTATCTCTATGGGCGCCTATCTCTATGGGCGCCTATCTCTAGGGCGCCTATCTCTAGGGGCGCCTATCTCTATGGGCGCCTATCTCTATGGGCGCCTATCTCTAGGGGCGCCTATCTCTATGGGCGCCTATCTCTAGGGCGCCTATCTCTAGGGGCGCCTATCTCTATGGGGCCTATCTCTATGGGCGCCTATCTTTAGGGGCGCCTATCTCTAGAGGGCCCTCTATCTCTATGGGCGCCTATCTCTAGGGCGCCTATCTCTAGGGCGCCTATCTCTAGGGGCGCCTATCTCTAGGGGCGCCTATCTCTAGGGGCCTATCTCTAGGGGCGCCTATCTCTAGGGGCGCCTATCTCTATGGGCGCCTATCTCTAGGGGCGCCTATCTTTAGGGCGCCTATCTCTATGGGCGCCTATCTCTATGGGCGCCTATCTCTATGGGCGCCTATCTCTATGGGCGCCTATCTCTATAGGCGCCTATCTCTAGGGGCGCCTATCTCTAGGGGCGCCTATCTCTAGGGGCGCCTATCTCTATGGGGCGCCTATCTCTATGGCGCCTATCTCTAGGGGCGCCTATCTCTATGGGGCGCCTATCTCTAGGGGCGCCTATCTCTAGGGGCGCCTATCTCTAGGGGCGCCTATCTCTAGGGGCGCCTATCTCTAGGGGCGCCTATCTCTAGGGCGCCTATCTCTAGGGGCGCCTATCTCTAGGGGCGCCTATCTCTAGGGGCGCCTATCTCTATGGGCGCCTATCTCTAGGGGCGCCTATCTCTAGGGCGCCTATCTCTATGGCGCCTATCTCTAGGGGCGCCTATCTCTAGGGGCGCCTATCTCTAGGGGCGCCTATCTCTAGGGGCGCCTATCTCTAGGGGCGCCTATCTCTAGGGCGCCTATCTCTAGGGGCGCCTATCTCTATGGGCGCCTATCTCTATGGGCGCCTATCTCTAGGGGGCGCCTATCTCTATGGGCGCCTATCTCTAGGGGCGCCTATCTCTAGGGGCGCCTATCTCTAGGGGCGCCTATCTCTATGGGCGCCTATCTCTATGGGCGCCTATCTCTATGGGCGCCTATCTCTAGGGGCGCCTATCTCTATGGGCGCCTATCTCTATGGGCGCCTATCTCTAGGGGCGCCTATCTCTATGGGCGCCTATCTCTATGGGGCGCCTCTCTCTATGGGCGCCTATCTCTATGGGCGCCTATCTCTATGGGCGCCTATCTCTATGGGGCGCCTATCTCTAGGGGCGCCTATCTCTATGGGCGCTATCTCTAGGGGCGCCTATCTCTATGGGCGCCTATCTCTATGGGCGCCTATCTCTATGGGGGCGCCTATCTCTAGGGGCGCCTATCTCTAGGGGCGCCTATCTCTATGGGCGCCTATCTCTATGGGCGCCTATCTCTAGGGGCGCCTAATCTCTAGAGGCGCCTATCTCTATGGGCGCCTATCTCTATGGGCGCCTATCTCTAGGGGCGCCTATCTCTAGGGGCGCCTATCTCTAGGGGCGCCTATCTCTATGGGCGCCTATCTCTATGGGGCCCTATCTCTATGGGCGCCTATCTCTAGGGGCGCCTATCTCTTTAGGGGCGCCTATCTCTATGGGCGCCTATCTCTATGGGCGCCTATCTCTAGGGGCGCCTATCTCTAGAGGCGCCTATCTCTATGGGCGCCTATCTCTATGGGCGCCTATCTCTATGGGCGCCTATCTCTAGGGGCGCCTATCTCTATAGGCGCCTATCTCTAGGGGCGCCTATCTCTATGGGCGCCTATCTCTATGGGCGCCTATCTCTAGGGGCGCCTATCTCTAGGGGCGCCTATCTCTAGGGGCGCCTATCTCTAGGGGCGCCTATCTCTATGGGCGCCTATCTCTAGGGGCGCCTATCTCTAGGGGCGCCTATCTCTAGGGGGCCTATCTCTAAGGGCGCCTATCTCTATGGGCGCCTATCTCTAGGGGCGCCTATCTCTATGGGCGCCTATCTCTATGGGCGCCTATCTCTATGGCGCCTATCTCTATGGGCGCCTATCTCTAGGGCGCGCCTATCTCTATGGGCGCCTATCTCTAGGGGCGCCTATCTCTATGGGCGCCTATCTCTATGGGCGCCTATCTCTAGGGGCGCCTATCTCTAGGGGCGCCTATCTCTAGGGGCGCCTATCTCTATGGGCGCCTATCTCTATGGGCGCCTATCTCTATGGGCGCCTATCTCTATGGGCGCCTATCTCTAGGGCGCCTATCTCTATGGGCGCCTATCTCTATGGGCGCCTATCTCTATGGGCGCCTATCTCTAGGGGCGCCTATCTCTATAGGCGCCTATCTCTAGGGGCGCCTATCTCTAGGGGCGCCTATCTCTATGTGCGCCTATCTCTAGGGGCGCCTATCTCTAGGGGCGCCTATCTCTATGGGCGCTATCTCTATGGGGCGCCTATCTCTAGGGGCGCCTATCTCTATGGGGCGCCTATCTCTATGGGCGCCTATCTCTATGGGCGCCTATCTCTATGGGCGCCTATCTCTATGGCGCCTATCTCTATGGGCGCCTATCTCTAGGGGCGCCTATCTCTATGGGCGCCTATCTCTAGGGGCGCCTATCTCTATGGGCGCCTATCTCTATGGGCGCCTATCTCTATGGCGCCTATCTCTAGGGGCGCCTATCTCTAGGGGCGCCTATCTCTATGGGCGCCTATCTCTATGGGCGCCTATCTCTAGGGGCGCCTATCTCTAGGGGCGCCTATCTCTATGGGCGCCTATCTCTAGGGGCGCCTATCTCTAGGGGCGCCTATCTCTAGTGGCGCCTATCTCTAGGGCGCCTATCTCTATGGGCGCCTATCTCTAGGGGCGCCTATCTCTAGGGGCGCCTATCTCTAGGGCGCCTATCTCTATGGGCGCCTATCTCTATGGGCGCCTATCTCTAGGGCGCCTATCTCTATGGGCGCCTATCTCTAGGGCGCCTATCTCTATGGGCGCCTATCTCTAGGGGCGCCTATCTCTATGGGCGCCTATCTCTAGGGCGCCTATCTCTATGGGCGCCTATCTCTATGGGCGCCTATCTCTATGGGCGCCTATCTCTAGGGGCGCCTATCTCTAGGGGCGCCTATCTCTATGGGCGCCTATCTCTATGGCGCCTCTCTTTAGGGCGCCTATCTCTAGAGGCGCCTATCTCTTGGGCGCCTATCTCTATGGGGCCCTATCTCTAGGGGCGCCTATCTCTAGGGGCGCCTATCTCTATGGGCGCCTATCTCTATGGGCGCCTATCTCTAGGGGCGCCTATCTCTATGGGCGCCTATCTCTAGGGGCGCGCCTATCTCTAGGGCGCCTATCTCTATGGGCGCCTATCTCTATGGCGCCTATCTCTAGGGGCGCCAATCTCTAGAGGCGCCTATTCTCTATGGCGCCCATCTCTAGGGGCGCCTATCTCTAGGGGCGCCTATCTCTAGGGGCGCCTATCTCTAGGGCGCCTATCTCTAGGGGCGCCTCTCTAGGGGCGCCTATCTCTAGGGGCACCTATCTCTATGGGCGCCTATCTCTAGGGGCGCCTATCTCTATGGGCGCCTATCTCTATGGGCGCCTATCTTGGGCGCCTATCTCTATGGGCGCCTATCTCTATGGGCGCCTATCTCTATGGGCGCCTATCTCTATGGGCGCCTATCTCTAGGGGCGCCTATCTCTAGGGGCGCCTATCTCTAGGGGCGCCTATCTCTATGGGCGCCTATCTCTATGGCGCCTATCTCTAGGGGCGCCTATCTCTATGGGCGCCTATCTCTATGGGCGCCTATCTCTAGGGCGCCTATCTCTAGCGGCGCCTATCTCTAGGGCGCCTATCTCTAGGGGCGCCTATCTCTAGGTGCGCCTATCTCTAGGGGCGCCTATCTCTAGGGGCGCCTATCTCTAGGGGCGCCTATCTCTATGGGCGCCTATCTCTAGGGGCGCCTATCTCTAGGGCGCTTGCCTCTATGGGCGCCTATCTCTAGGGGCGCCTCTCTAGGGGCGCCTATCTCTAGGGGCGCCTATATCCTAGGGGCGCCTATCTCTAGGGGCGCCTATCTCTAGGGGCGCCTATCTCTAGGGGCGCCTATCTCTATGGGCGCCTATCTCTATGGGCGCCTATCTCTAGGGGCGCCTATCTCTATGTGCGCCTATCTCTAGGGCGCCTATCTCTAGGGGCGCCTATCTCTAGGGGCGCCTATCTCTATGGGCGCCTATCTCTATGGGCGCCTATCTCTATGGGCGCCTATCTCTAGGGGCGCCTATCTCTATGGGCGCCTATCTCTAGGGGCGCCTATCTCTAGGGGCGCCTATCTCTGGGCGCCTATCTCTATGGGCGCCTATCTCTATGGGCGCCTATCTCTATGGGCGCCTATCTCTTTGGGCGCCTATCTCTATGGGCGCCTATCTCTAGGGGCGCCTATCTCTATGGGCGCCTATCTCTAGGGGCGCCTATCTCTATGGGCGCCTATCTCTATGGGCGCCTATCTCTATGGGCGCCTATCTCTAGGGGCGCCTATCTCTAGGGGCGCCTATCTCTATGGGCGCCTATCTCTATGGGCGCCTATCTTTAGGGGCGCCAATCTCTAGGGCGCCCTATCTCTATGGGCGCCTATCTCTATGGGCGCCTATCTCTAGGGGCGCCTATCTCTAGGGGCGCCTATCTCTATGGGCGCCTATCTCTATGGGCGCCTATCTCTATGGCGCCTATCTCTATGGGCGCCTATCTCTATGGGCGCCTATCTCTAGGGCGCCTATCTCTAGGGGCGCCTATCTCTATGGGCGCCTATCTCTATGGGCGCCTATCTCTAGGGGCGCCTATCTCTAGGGCGCCTATCTCTTTGGGCGCCTATCTCTATGGGCGCCTATCTCTAGGGGCGCCTATCTCTAGGGGCGCCTATCTCTATGGGCGCCTATCTCTATGGCGCCTATCTCTAGGGGCGCCTATCTCTATGGGCGCCTATCTCAAGGGGCGCCTATCTCTAGGGGCGCCTATCTCTATGGGCGCCTATCTCTATGGGCGCCTCCTTAGGGGCGCCTATCTCTAGAGGCGCCATCTCTATGGGCGCCTATCTCTAGGGGCGCCTATCTCTAGGGCACCTATCTCTATGGGCGCCTATCTCTAGGGGCGCCTATCTCTAGGGGCCCTATCTCTAGGGGCGCCTATCTCTAGGGGCGCCTATCTCTATGGGCGCCTATCTCTAGGGGCGCCTATCTCTATGGGCGCCTATCTCTAGGGCGCCTATCTCTATGGGCGCCTATCTCTATGGGCGCCTATCTCTATGGGCGCCTATCTCTATGGGCGCCTATCTCTAGGGGCACCTATCTCTAGGGGCGCCTATCTCTAGGGGCGCCTATCTCTATGGGCGCCTATCTCTATGGCGCCTATCTCTAGGGGCGCCTATCTCTATGGGCTCCTATCTCTAGGGGCGCCTATCTCTAGGGGCGCCTATCTCTAGCGGCGCCTATCTCTAGGGCGCCTCTCTAGGGGCGCCTATCTCTAGGGGCCTATCTCTAGGGCGCCTATCTCTAGGGGCGCCTATCTCTAGGGACGCCTATCTCTAGGGGCGCCTATCTCTATGGGCGCCTATCTCTAGGGGCGCCTATCTCTGGGGCGCTTGCTCTCTATGGACGCCTATCTCTAGGGGCGCCTCTCTAGGGGCGCCTATCTCTAGGGGCGCCTATCCCTAGGGGCGCCTATCTCTAGGGGCGCCTATCTCTAGGGGCGCCTATCTCTAGGGGCGCCTATCTCTATGGGCGCCTATCTCTATGGGCGCCTATCTCTAGGGCGCCTATCTATATGTGCGCCTATCTCTAGGGGCGCCTATCTCTAGGGGCGCCTATCTCTAGGGGCGCCTATCTCTATGGGCGCCTATCTCTATGGGCGCCTATCTCTATGGGCGCCTATCTCTAGGGGCGCCTATCTCTATGGGCGCCTATCTCTAGGGGCGCCTATCTCTATGGTGCCTATCTCTATGGGCGCCTATCTCTATGGGCGCCTATCTCTAGGGCGCCTATCTCTAGGGGCGCCTATCTCTATGGGCGCCTATCTCTATGGGCGCCTATCTCTAGGGGCGCCTATCTCTAGAGGCGCCTATCTCTATGGGCGCCTATCTCTATGGGCGCCTATCTCTAGGGCGCCTATCTCTAGTGGCGCCTATCTCTAGGGGCGCCTATCTCTATGGGCGCCTATCTCTAGGGGCGCCTATCTCTAGGGGCGCCTATCTCTATGGGCGCCTATCTCTAGGGGCGCCTATCTCTATGGGCGCCTATCTCTAGGGGCGCCTATCTCTAGGGGCGCCTATCTCTAGGGGCGCCTATCTCTAGGGGCGCCTATCTCTAGGGGCACATATCTCTATGGGCGCCTATCTCTAGGGCGCCTATCTCTATGGGCGCCTATCTCTATGGGCGCCTATCTCTATGGGCGCCTATCTCTATGGGCGCCTATCTCTATGGGCGCCTATCTCTAGGGGCGCCTATCTCTATGGGCGCCTATCTCTAGGGGCGCCTATCTCTATGGGCGCCTATCTCTATGGGCGCCTATCTCTATGGGCGCCTATCTCTAGGGCGCCTATCTCTAGGGGCGCCTATCTCTATGGGCGCCTATCTCTATGGGCGCCTATCTCTAGGGGCGCCTATCTCTATGGGCGCCTATCTCTAGGGGCGCCTATCTCTAGGGGCGCCTATCTCTATGGGCGCCTATCTCTATGGGCGCCTCTCTCTAGGGGCGCCTATCTCTAGAGGCGCCTATCTCTATAGGGCCTATCTCTTTGGGCGCCTATCTCTATGGCGCCTATCTCTAGGGGCGCCTATCTCTAGGGGCGCCTATCTCTAGGGGCGCCTATCTCTAGGGGCGCCTATCTCTAGGGCGCCTATCTCTATGGGCGCCTATCTCTAGGGCGCCTATCTCTATGGGCGCCTATCTCTATGGGCGCCTATCTCTATGGGCGCCTATCTCTATGGGCGCCTATCTCTAGGGCGCCTATCTCTAGGGCGCCTATCTCTATGGGGCGCCTATCTCTATGGGC